GTGCTGCGGGCCTCCCGGCTGAGCTCCTGCCCGTGTGTGCCTAGGCGCCCGGTCCCCAGCGGCTCCAGCGGGGTGTGGCCTGGGACTTCCAGCGCCTGTCCCCAGCACGTCAGGGAGTCCCACCATCAGCTGGCCCAAGCGCTACAGTGCACCCTTGACTTACAGACTCAGTTTGTGCTCGAGAGGGCTGGTTGTAACTCAAGTTCAGTGAAGGCTCAGCTCCTCTCCACAGCCTTCACAGCCTCTCTCCTGCACACAGGCAGACCTCAGGGTCCTTGGAGAGACCCTGGCCCAGGATCTCTCAGTGAACCCCACACAGGAAAGGATGCTGGAATGTTCCTTCCAGGACTCCAGGGGTTAAATCTGCATCTGAGACCCTCCGGAGGCACAAGTGGCCGACAGTAGGGTTGCAACTCAACACTTCGGTCAAATGTTAAAACTGAAATTCAGGTTGTAACTCCAATGCCAGGCTGGTCGTAACGCGAGGCTCACTGTACTGATAACCAATTTATGGAGGTCTGTGGGGTCTCCACAGCCTGCGGCTAGGGGCAGGGCTGTCCAAGTGGGGTCTCCGTGACAATGGGGGGATTTCAGAAAGAAGCCGAGGCTGGTGGAGTGTTGGGTTGGGGTCTTTGGGTCCCCTCGGTGATCCGGAATGCGACTGAAGACTCGCTTCCCGTTCTGTGTGCGAGGAGGGACAGATCCCCGTCCACGGGCCGCTACCCCCCGCCTTCACCTCCTCTCCGGCTTCAAACCCATCGGGCACCCCCGGCCGGCGGAGCCCGAGGCCTGGACAGCGAGGGCCCCACACGTGTGACTCGTTCAACACTCAAGCGACACAAGCACATCTCGCGTCACACATCTCGCACCCAAGTCCGCAGGCCCGGAGCCTGTGCGCCGCGGAGACGGGGTCCGCGCACCCGCTGAGCTCGGTGGACTGGGCTCGGGCTGGGGCCGGTTGTGAGAGCTCGGGCTGCTGGTGACCTCCGCAGAGCGACGGCGTCACGGGAGCGTCCAGTTCCTAGGGGACAGCTCAGGCCCGTGTGCAGGGGGAGCTTCAGGCGCAGGAATTCACTTCAGGCGCAGCGCGGAACCGCCATGGGGCCCAACGCCGGCCCATAAAAAGGGAGCGTCCTTTCAACGTCTTTCTAACTCTGAAATTCGAACAATAAAACATCTCGGGGAAAGCTAAGAACACAATCTTGAAACTCCGGTGTCGCTGGGGCTGAGGGAGTGGTCCCCCGAATCGCAGCCTCGGGGCAGAGTCCCCCTGAGCTTGTCCTGTCCCCTGCCCCCCAGCCCCGCTTCTCCCCAGAGAAAGCCATGAAAGAGGCGGAAGAGACCACAGCCCGCTGTTCCCAGAGCCAGACAGCCCGGAGAGTCGGCTCCAACTTCCCTCGCCCCTACCCCGAGCCGTCCATGGGGACACCCTCGGGGCCACCTTGTTTGACTGTGGCTCCGAAGACCCCATCCAGGAAGGGTCCTGCCCGGTACCGGAAGGAAGGAGCCCTGTGCACGGAGCAGGGCCGAGAAGCACCCCGCAGACCTTGGGGGGCCCCTGCCCCATGTGCACGGCTCACACCCCCTCCGTCCAACTGCTCCTACCCGGGCTCCTAAATGCGAACACTCCCTCGTCACCTCACGTCACATCACGTCTCGGAGGCGTTTGCGACATCGTTCTCCGGGTGAACCCCTCTCCCGCCTCCTGTGCACACCAAGCTGCTGCTGCACCTCCTTCCACCCAGGCCTCCCTCCGGCCACACTAAATTCCATGGCGCGTTTTCGCCATAAGGAAGCAGCAGACGTTGGGAGAGGCAGACTGGCTTTAATCCTTTCAGGGCTGCCAAGTCCTGCCAAGAGCTGGTTATTCCTTCACTGCTGCGAAGATGAAGAAAAGAATCCAGTGCTGCTCTTCCATCTCCACTACACTCACACAAGGACGAACAAAAGCACGTCGAGTTTTCAGCGGAGAGTTAAGGGAGCCGGGTACACAACCGCAAGGATGAAACCGTACAGCTGCACAAAACCGGGTACGACGCTGCTCCCAGGAGCACTGGTTATCGGAGCTGGAAAGCAGAGGTGGCCTCAGTGCCCCCCAGTCACACAGGCACGTGATGGGCAGTGGTGTCCTCAGGGACGGGGGAGCCAAGGCGGAGCCAGGCACAGCAGCCGCGTCCCATGAAAGGTCCGGAACAGGCAAACCCGAAGGGACGGGGTCTTTCTGTTTGCTTCGGGCTCAGGAACGGCTGCTGGGTCCAGGGTTCTTTAGGGCTCATAAATGCTCTGGAATTAGACGGTGGTGATGTTGCACAACTTTATAAACGCAATAAAAGCCAGGGGATTGTGCCAAGAACACTGTGCCATGTGAATTACATCTCAATCTTTTTAAAAAAAGTTAACGAGAAGCAACTCTGCACTGGACCCATCTGTGAGGACAGGACAGCCCAGGCAGGTGGGGTGTGAGGGGCCCTCCGGTCTCCTGTCAGTCCTGGACTGCGAAAGGGCCCAGACCTTGGCTCAAGCAAGACTGGCGTCCTTAGGGCTCACATCGGCCAGTTCCTGTCCCCACCCGCACCCCAGGCCCCCCCAAGCCACCCTGCAAGGCCCACAGCCCACCCATCTGTGAGGACAGGACAGCCCAGGCAGGTGGGGTGTGAGGGGCCCTCCGGTCTCCTGTCAGTCCTGGACTGCGAAAGGGCCCAGACCTTGGCTCAAGCAAGACTGGCGTCCTTAGGGCTCACATCGGCCAGTTCCTGTCCCCACCCGCACCCCAGGCCCCCCCAAGCCACCCTGCAAGGCTCACAGCCCTCACCGCACCTACCGTCCTGCCTCTCCCACCCCCCAAACTGGGCTTTGCTCATTGATTCACTGCGAACACCAGGCGCTCAGTACATCTCTGGGCGAGTGGGTGAATTTAGAAGAAAATCTTACGCAAAAAATCTGTACCGGATATTACTTAAAAGGTGAAGTTTGGGGCTCCAGAATGTGTTTTTCTCCCATGAAAAGAGGAACTCCTCCTTTGAGCATATATTTAAACTCTGGGAACCTGCACAGAGTATTTTATTACAGACAAAAACATACCATACATCTTGACACATTTCAAGGAAAACATTCAGGCATCCTAAACATAAAACTTTCAATATGCAAAATTTCAATTTACAGCAACAACCCCAGAAGTTTATCTTTTAGACCATGTGGTTAATTCCTACACTACCTCTCACTTCTTAGCCAGCGTCTGAAGAAAGAAGGCACACCCTAAAAATGCAGCAGAAGCGCTTCCGCACACTGGGCACAGATTCCAGTCTGTATGGAAACGTTTCCACTAGATTCATAGAGCTCAGAGCACTCGAGGCCAGGGGAAGCCGACCTCACTTGGTGGCCTTGCGGACCTTCTGCAGCTCCTCAATCGGCTTCCATTCTTGGTTGATTGTTAAAAGCTTTTAAGAGAAAGGAAATAAAGTGTTCTGTTAAAGATCTGTCCCTTGCTATATAATATATGGCTGGGTGTGGCACCAAGAGAGTTCAAGGCCAGCCTGCATTACATAGTGAGACCCTGTCCCCAAAATAGATAAGAAATAAAAGGGCCACGGCCACCTGCCTCCCAAATGAAAGGACCTGAGCTCTATCCCGGTACCAAAAAAAAAAAGAATTTTACTTAAAGAGAACATCTTCAGGAGCGCCTCACCTAGCATTTAGCACAACAGACCTAATTAACTGTACACCTGTCCTTTATGCATTTTCATGACAATAAAAGTTCATCACTGAGTTTTTATTATGGGCCACCCCTGGGGCTATCAGCCCTACACTGGAGGCCACCTCAAGTGGCTCTCTGCAAGGCTGTTTTGCTGAGGGGTGGCAAGGTTTGGACTAAAGGTCCCTTTTTTTTCACTGAGCAATACCTTTTGAGGGACACTAGGATCCACATTTTCCCAAGGCTCTGGATTTCCTTTTCGATCAATACTGAAAACAAAAGAAAGCTAATTAAGGCGGAGACAAAGCAATCTCCACGCCAGCGTCCACACCTCTTCCTCAGATGCCCGCAGAGAGGCTTGCGCCCTTCACACGCACTGAATGTATCAGTCCTACCACATAGGAAAGATCACTCTAATAAATTCAAATTGAAAGACGTAATTAAAATGATGACCCCGGAGGATACACATTTCCTGCAAATGATGTGAGCTCTAAAAAAATCCCAGTTCAGTTTAAAAAATACCAGACTTTACTTCCTTGTGGAGGAGTGGAGCAAAAGGATTTTTCATTAGACACAGGAAGAAACAAGTGTCGTTAATACCACTGAGTCATCTCTCAAATACCAGGATGCTTCCTAGACCCGGGTGCAAGCCCACAACCTGACCTTGCCCGTAGGCAAAAACAGGAAACTGACCTCACTCAGAAGCCGGGCCACCCACCTCCGCCCAGGCGGCCCTACTCACATCACGTCGCTCTTGCAGAAGGAGTACACAGCGAAGGAGGACGCGCCGCCGGCCGCCACCGTCATGATCACGGCCAGAGGGATGAGCTGGGGACAACACGGGGCCTCGGATGCAGACACGACAGACGCGACACGGGCGCGAGGGGCGCGTGGGCTGGGTATCTATGCGCAAGCCGCTTTTACAATGTCCTCCCAACCAACCATGGCTTCATCCTCAAAAAGTAACACTTTCAGGAATTACTTTAAAAGCTTACCTCCTTCTTTTTCATCAGGATTTGGAAAACGCCCATGGTGACTTCAGCGGTAGAATGCCAAATCTAGAAGAAGAAAACAAAAATCCAAGATACTGATCCAAACTGTAATCTCGGGAGGCTGAGGCAGGAGGATCGCTGAGAGATCAAGGCCAGCCTGGGCTACCCAGTGAGTTCAAAGCTAGCCTGAGACCCTGTCGCAAAAAACATAAAAACAAACTTAGGCCACTGGGACCCAACCCGGTGGGCACCAACCTGCCCGACGTGCTCACCTGGCCGGGTGGGGAGGGGCTCACCTGGGCGGACTCACTTGGCGCTGCGCAGTCGGGGATGCTGCCGCGGGCTCTCGGAGCGGGCCTGGGCTACCCAGTGAGTTCAAAGCTAGCCTGAGACCCTGTCGCAAAAAACATAAAAACAAACTTAGGCCACTGGGACCCAACCCGGTGGGCACCAACCTGCCCGACGTGCTCACCTGGCCGGGTGGGGAGGGGCTCACCTGGGCGGACTCACTTGGCGCTGCGCAGTCGGGGATGCTGCCGCGGGCTCTCGGAGCGGGCGCG